CAGCTGGGGAAGGGAAGGGAAGGGAAGGGAGGGGGAGACTTCCCCCCTTTTTTTGCTTCCCCAGCTGGCCTGCTTCTGCCCCCCCCCCTCCTGGCTTGCCTGCCTGGCGGGTGAGCCAGGAAGGGCCTTGGAGAGAGTGGAGAGGCATTTAAATGCCTCCCCGTGCCTTCGTCAGCTTGTCCGCCCTCTCCTGGTTCGCTTGCCTGGTGGGTGAGCCAGGGAGAAAGTGGGGAGACATTTAAATGCCTCCCCATGCCTTCATCGGCTCACCTGCCCAAGCAGGCGAGCTGAGAAAGGCTCCTAGAGGGGCCCCACGGCCTCTCCACAGACCTGGAGTCATGCCGCCACTGCGGTGCAATGTTTCCATTATATTCTACGGGGCCATAGAATATACACGACTCCACAGAGTCTTTAAACTGCCTTCCTAAACTTTAAACCCCTTCTCTATGGAGTTGCGCCGCAGTGGTGGCATGATCTTTCCATTATATTCTATGGCCCCATATAATATAATGGAAAGATTGCGCCGTGGCTGCGGTGCGACTCTAGAAAAAAGGAGCGTGGGGGCAGGGCTGCCGGGGCAATGCTCCAGCCCCAAATGACCCCTGCACATTTCCATGTAATGTATAGTCTGGCCCTTTAGAAGAAGGCAGATGCTGGCAAAGGAAGCCAGGTTCTTGTTGCAAAGCAGGAGGCAGGATTAGAGGCTCTATTGCTAAAAGTTGCTAAATGCCAGAATTGCATGTGGTGGAGGTGGTGGAGATGGAAGGTGCTTCTTAGCTATGAGCATGGAGCACAATAAGGGAGTTAACAAAGAGCCAGAAATACTTTCGAAACATGGCTGTTTTGGGTGCATGGGATGCCAGCCTATTTCCTGGAGGCAGGTACAGGAAAAGAAGTGTTCTGTATGTGTGGTAAAAGGTAAAGGTAAAGGTTCCCTTGCTCGAAAGCCAGTCGAATCCGACTCTAGGGTTTCAAAGCCGAAGAGCCAGCGCTGTGCAAAGACATCTCCGTGGTCATGTGGCCGGCATGACTAAACACCAAGGCGCACGGAACGCTGTTACCTTCCCACTGAAGTGGTACCTATTTATCTACTTGCAATTTCTTGCTTTCGAACTGCTAGGTTGGCAGGTGCCTTTGTGTGATGCCTTTGGCTAAAGGTTAAACCTTAAGAAAAGCTATCTAGTTCAGCGTCCTACTTCTCACAATGGACAATCTGATTCCCCTGGGAAACTCCCATGATGGTCCATCAGCATCAGGTATTCTGGGGCAAACTGCATTGAATATTCAGTTATCATGGCTAATAGCTGCTAATAGATCTGTTTTCTGATAATTTGTATGATCCTGTTAAAATGCATGTAAGCTAATAGCCACCACTGGTATTCCTAAACTACAGAGATATACTGCAGATTCACTTATGCATTGATTGGATTAGCTACATGGAATGGCACATGGTCCTTGAAGCATCTACTAAGGATCTGGTCCAGAAATTACTAACTCAAGTAGTATTTACTTGGGACTCAGATCTATGACATTTAGACATAATTGCCAAAGCAACTATGATTTTGGAACATTGGTGAGGATTTCAACTGGTAAAATGCTAATGGAAGAGGTGCTCCCATCAGTGGAACAGGACTTTTCTTTCCTCCCACTTTTCCCTGCATCTCAAAACGACCCCTGTGCAGCTCCTGGGAAACAGGGGGGACCCTCAGGAATGGTATGAGGAGTTGATTGGAGGTTTGTAGCAAGAGGGGGGAATTGGCAAAAATCCCCCCACCCTTTTACTGTCAGCAGAGACGTCTGATGGAATCCCAGCCATTACAGTGAAATACATATTAACTTCATGTTTTATACATATTTAAAAGCAATTACTTTCCATTTTAACATCCAAATTACTTTTGGATGTTTCTTTATTCGTTGCTCTATGAATCAAGTGTTACAAAGACAGAGGAGCATACAACAGAGCTCTGAAAAATTATCAGTCAGTTATCTGTTATTCGTATTGATACATTTTACTCACATGTAATTCCTATTTTGTACAGCTCTCTGAATTTCTGGTTGTAACCTTCTCCTGGAACATAGTCACCAAGACCAATGGTGCTCAGAGAAATGAAGCAAAAGTAAAAAGATTCTAGGAAGTTCCAGTCATCCTCAAGGACAGAAAATACTGCTGCTGGGATAAAGAAAAAGCACGAAATGGTAACGAAGCCCAGAAACACTGCATGGATGATGGCAACAATCTGCTTTGAGAAACCCCAGCGAATGTGGAAGTACAGCACAGGCCTCCGGGTGACGTACACTATAATGCGCTGCACCACTGCTGTCAGGAAAAGAAGCGTGAAAGGGATTCCAATGACAGAGTAGATGATACAGAACGCTTTTCCTCCATCTGACAAAGGCACAGTGTGACCATAACCTGTAACAAGAAAAAAAAATGTGGGACTTAGAAAAAACAGCCGCACCCAGGAAATAAAATTCAGATTAAAAATACACACACCAGCTCTCACAAAGATCCATGTTAGATAAAATGTTGTTACTCTTTAAGGTGCCACTGGATTTCTGTTTTGTTTTACACCAGAGAACAGCCTCTCAGTCTTTCTCTTCTGCCACAGGGCCGAATTAAGTCAATAATGACTGATTATGTGATTTCATGGCATTTATGGATTTACCATACATCACCCACATTTTATATCAATATCTAGATCACGTTTAATGGAATAAAAACAGCCCACCAGTTAAGATCTGCCTCCCAATCCCTATTCTCTGTGCCCTTGCCTTCAGAAGTGAGATGAATGGCAACTAGGGACAAGGGATGTCTAATGGTAGCACCTTGTCTTTGAAATGCACCCCCCCTCCCTGAGGCTCACATGGGGCCTACTATAATGTGTTATAGGTACCAGGCAAAAACATTTATTTTACCCAGTCTTTTAAGTGAGGAATTTCATCTTCTTAGCTGATTATGGTCTGCGTCTGGTCTAGTACATTTTATGGGTACTCTTATGCTATTTTTATGTTCTTCATTTTGTATTATAATTTTGTTTTTGGGTTGTTCTGGAAAGCAAAAAAAAAAATCAACACCACCTTTGACTAATTTCAACACATCTTTGAAACTTTTCTTACTCTGCCAGTCGGCCAAGTATCAATTTCACTCATAAGCACATTAAATCTAATTTATGGCATGACTTCTTAGGGAACCCAATAATAAGATTGTTCAGTTCTGCTTTTCTGTGCATCAAAATAAAGCATGCTAAGCAGTGTTCCCTCTAAGTTGAGTTAGTGTGGGCTAGCTCAGTTTTTTAGCCTCCAGCTCACAGAGTTATGTCTTAGCTCAGGAAGGATGGCTCCAGAGTAAACTAATTTATGCAGTAGCCAAATCGCTCACTCACAATTTTAATGCTAGTAGCTCACAAAATAGAATTTTTGCTCACAAGATTCCACAGCTTAGAGCGAGCATTGATGCTAAGTTGTCTAAATCTTCTTAAATTTTGATAGTTCGGCATATTTTATTCTGCCCTACAGGGATGACACATTTCCTTTCCAGCCTTTCTCTCACCCCGCCCCTTTTTGCTCTCCAGTAAAGAGAGCAGATTGGACAGGAATGGCAATTCTGTGGTTGGCTCTAGTAGCCACCCCAGATCTGGACCCCTACAGAAACAGTATTCCATGGATGAAATCAGCTGTTAAGAAATCACACCACACAATCCTTTGTATCGCACTTTGGTCTTTCACGCTGGATCTCGTCTTCTCTTTCATTCTTACTGTTTCGTGTTTGATCGTGGAATTCTCTGGCATTATCGACATCTCACATAAGTACAATAGTGGAATAGTAATCATGGTCTTCTTTCAAAGGGGGACCTTGTTGGAAGGGACCTTGCAGGCTATCTAGTCCAACCTAACAAACATAATGCCTGATTGAACCACATGAGTTTAAAAGCTAGCACATGCTTATCTTGAATAGGGAGCTGTACATTTATTTATTAATTTATTTTTATTTATAGATTCAATTTATAGCCCTCCCTCCCTGCTGCGCGGGCTCAGGGCGGCTTACAATCAGGCATAAGCCAACATATAAAACATATTTAAAACCATTTAAAATTATTCTACAGTATAATGACATTATTATTAATAAGTGCTCTGGATGTTCCGAGGTGATCTTACACAAGATGGCGTATTACTGCTGCTCTACCAACTCAGCGTCGTCTATTGTACTTGTGATTAATGAATGAGGTTAACTACACGAATGTGCGCTATGATTTATCGATGTATTGTTTGAACTTCAATAAAGTTTATGAAATCTTAAAAAAAGAAATCACACCCACCCCTCACATAATGCTGTTCAGGGGTTTACAGAACAACTGTTCTGTTCTATTCTTATAGGAGCATGAGACTTTCTTATACAAGCAAGATAGGGGTTTGAATCCCTTTCCTTGAATACATACCGTTTAAACAAGTGAACACAAAGGGAAGAAAGACTGGGCAGTCCTAACATGGTATCTCACCTTCTCTAAGGATTGAGAGAGGAAGCACCAGAGAAAACCCATGAATCCTCACCAGCAAGGATTCCTGCCCCACTGAGAGAATGATGCCCTTAGAAGGAGATGAAATTCCAGTCCTTGAAAGGCAAGGGAAAAGAGATGCCAAAACAAGCAACAAGAGAAGAGACACTAGAATTCACAGAAGGCATCCATGTTAACTCCCCCAACAGCTCAATGGGTAAAAGCACTGTTGAGGGAAACATGGATTTTACAATTTAAGTTCTGTAACGGGTAGGGATAAAGCCAAATCTTGGCAAGCTGCAATATTGGCAGCAACAAAACAGGAAGAGGATAGTCACAGTATTAAGGGCTATCATCAGATCTGGGTCTTCAGAATCATAGAATGTTAGAGTTGGAAGGGACCTTGCAGGTCATCTAGTCCAACCCCCTGCACTCTGCAGGCGTATAGACGAAAGATAGCTCTACAACATACCCAAAAAATGTTCGTTCAGCCTCCGCTTGAAAACGTCCAATTTATACAAACAGTTCAGCTATACAAACAGTTCAGAATATTTATTGAATGTGCACATATAGACTTTGGTGAGTCTCTAGGGGAAAGAATTTCTGTCACTTTGCAACAACAACTCAGAGCACTCTAATATTTTCCTAGTAGATATGCTTTAAGTATTGATTATATGAAGGAAACTCTTGATATTAGGATTTGCAAGAAAGGCCAAAGACTGATAGTAGGCAAAGACCAAATTGTTCAGGTTAGATACTCGACAATAAGAGAAATTAGACTTGAAAAAGCAAAAATGAAGATGTATTTTTTAAAAATAATGACCTTGACAAATGCAGTATTGAATATATTTCTGTTATATGCATGTGTTAAGTAATATCAGCTGCAGTATCGTATGTTCTCTTTTGCCCAAAACAGAAATGACTAAGGGGGAGAGAATGATACCAGCTCTTGCTTTTCCTGCTAAAATTGCATTATATATGAGCTCAGCATGCAGTGTCAACTCAGGATGAACCATTATACCATTGCAATGTGGATGTCTAATTAGCAACACAGTATGGAAGAAAGCATACTAGTTGTGGATAGGAAACTGGGGAGAAGGCAGTTACGGAGTTATTGTGACTCCAGCTATTCCTTTAAGCATGCTGGATAAAAAGGATCGGATTCTGAAATCTAAATTGACTAATAGTGCTCTGTGCTTTCCACTTACTTAGACACACCTGACTGGTATGCTATAATGTGTGCGAGAAAAATGTCTGCCATTCACATTTACTATTGTTCATTATAATTTATGACCCAACACACACTGCAAAGCCCTCCTGCTGATTGATTCTTGCATCCATAATGAATTCTTAGGATGTTAGTCAGAATGTTCTTATACATAGCAGGTCTGAGGCTTGAAGCATGCAATCCTTTTGGAATATTGTTCTAAAGATGCCATATAGCCTTAACTAAATGATCCTACATATATGTAGGGTCGCCAACTTTTTAATGACCCTATCCCAGATACTTTGGTTAAAGTAACAGCAAAAATTAAATTTAGCAAAAGACTTTCCCAATGCTTAATCTCTAGGCCAGGAGAAACATCATTTCCCTGGTTTCTACATTCTGGGACTACAACAGTACGTATTGCCTAACAAAAACATGGTACTCCCCATAAACTCCAGATTTCCCCCCTTAAACCTGGAATCTGAGAATGCAATGAAACAAGCCCTTTACTCAGAAAATTGGTTCTAATTCCTTCAGTACAGCCTTTACCACAACAAAAATCAAATTATTTATTTGGTTTACTCCCTAAAAGCATGCATATATGAATACTCAAGAATGTAAACAAATTGTCAAAAACTATTAACCTTTATTAGAGCTCTTTCTGGGCATCAGAATTGCAAACAGCAAAATTATTGCAAGATAAATAGTTAATACAGGCTCTTTCAAATATAGTAATTTTAAACTTGACTATGTAATATTACAAAACAAATCTAAGCAAAGGGTATAATTTCTGCTCAATAAAAACTAATGAACCATGAAGGCAAAACCAAAGTTGAGGCTTTGAGAAGCACCTTGAGGGATTCAGGAAAATTCCCAATTTACTGTTTTATTGATTTATCTGCCTGCTAGGCAACAAGTAATTTAAAAAAAAACTGAATCAGGGTGAGGCTGCTATTAACAAGCTATTCCAGTTGACAGCAGCAACCTGGCACAGCTAAATCAATAAACAACCACATTTACAAGAAAGACAGAAGTGCTCTTGGGTGGGTTTGGAAAGAAGCAGAGCTGGTGCAGCACAGAGACTGAGAAAAGTCAGGAAGTCTCCAGTTTGAATCTTGCCTCTGCTATGATGCCATGGACTTAGATCCACACTAGTATGTCTGCGTGTGCAAATTCTTCTGCCCACAGAAAGATTTTCCTACCCCCCTGCCCCGGCAGCCAGAAATGCACACCAAAATGTTATTACTGGGGAAGAGGGGAAGCCCACTTATTTATATTCCATTTATTTATATCTTCCATCCTAGAAGTCAATACAGGTATGGTCTTATCCAAGCACTGACCAGACACAAACCTGCTTAGCTTCAGCAAGCTTACTGTATTACCATATGCTGCCATTCTCCCTAGTATGAGGACCCAACACAAGTAACAAATAAAAGAAAGAATACTGCTTGCTTTAAACACCCAATACCCCACAGTTACAATAAGATCCTTTTGAAGAAGTCAACTTTGAAATGCTATTTAGAGAGTCCAATCAGATGGCTCTTTAGATCAACATCTGGGAAACATCCGTCTTCCGTGAGCATTCCATTTTGTCGTGCTTTGGAGCCATACTAAAAAGGTACTAGTTAAAATCTGGAGTTTTTGGTTCCCAACGGGCCAATCGCAGACTTTCCCCATCTGATTGTTCCAGTGCACAATTTAAAAATGGCGCCC